TTAATCAATAAAAAATACAACATAGGAGTTTGGGGTTTTATTTGCAATATATTAATTTGTTCGAAAAAAAAGTGCAAATTCATATGTCAAATAAAAAAAAAAAAAAAAAAAATCTAATGAAAATAAAGAGACTCATTATAAGAAAATTTTAAAATATTTTTAAAGTAACATATGACATATTTATGTGATACTTTTAGGCTTCCCTTAAGGCCATATCTTGTATTGTAACGTGTTATTCGAGGAAACAACGCCATCAACCGCACATGCGGTGACTTCCTCTGCACGTGTGGTGCCCCTCATCTGTACTTGCAGTTTCCACAATCTACCACTAAAGGCTTGCTCCATTTGCTGCACTTGCGGGTGAAACCGCCGCACGTGCGGAGTCTTTCATCGCATGTGCAGAACAATCTATTTATGGAACTTAAACACCATTAAGTTTTGTTGATTTTTAAATACGACAATAAATCCTCCATCAACTATATTTCCCTCTTTAAATTCAAATCTATCAAATCTTTTCATATTGTTTTTTCATCTCTCTCTCTTCTTTCTCTCCCTCTCTACCATTTTTCAAAAAAATTCACACAACCACTAGCCACTGCCAACGTCGTCGTCTACCACCACCGCCACCGCCAAGGTTGTGATCTACTTCCACTACCACCGTCGTTTGACCGTTGCAATCGTTCATCAACTATCACATCCACCGATGTATGCACTACCACTACCATCTTAGATCCACCACCACCGTCGCATTTCCGCCTGCAAATCTACACTTTATTGTTACAGATCTACACTCTATCATCACGTTTTATTTTGTAATATAGATGTGGGGATTAACTTACCACAACTACCAGTTGTGATGATGAATAACTCGTGGAGGTGATAAGTAATTGTTTGGTAGTGATTTTTTTTTTTTTTTTGGTTGCAATAATACCTCTTTATGTAGAGGTTTTCTCTTCTTGTTATGGAGTTTTATTTTTCTCTCTGTATGGAGACTGGTAAGGTTCTCTTTATCTATTTCTAGATTTATTTTATATTTCGATATACTTCAATTGACGACATATTGTCAAATATATAATATATCAAGTTCTTGCTTTCTCATAAATAGAAGAAGAAGAAGAAGAAGAGAGCAATGTAGCTAATCCATAGGGTGAGACTATCACTACCATAGTGAGGATTATGTTGGTTATAATCACGTCATTTTATGAAGGGGTGAGCAGTGGATATACCGATTCGTCCAAACCGATCAAACCGAACCAATCTACTGCATTTTGGCAGATGCGTAATGACGAGCAGACGGTTGTGGATTGATTTTTTCCAATCCGCCTAACTTTGGACAAATGACAGATTTGAGGTTCCTTTGGCCGCAACCGAACCACCAAACCGCGAGCATCCCAAGTAATTTTTAAGACTTTGTGTTGTCAATTTGTTTAGATGTTCAGTTTGTGTTTTCAATTGAAAATGAGTTAATATTTTGTTGAATATGTTCTGTTGAAAAAGAGTTTTCAACTTGAATATATTTTTTGAATTGAAAAAAATAAATGTATTATTTATCTATATTTTTTAGTTTTAAAATCTAACTCTAAAGATAATAAATAAAAAAGATGATATATACTGGTTGATTTTTGTTTTCAAAAACAGATATAGATGTAACAATACAGAGGGATACAATCTCTACTACTGTTCTGATCATGGTTTTGGTGGTTTAAATTATTTTTATATTTTAAGAACCATAGATTGTAATACTTTTGTGGATGAAGTATGTTGTGATTGTAATATGTGGATGAGGCATGCAGTGATTGTAATATTTTTTAAGTCATTGATTATAATATATATATATATATATATATATTGTTGAGGAAGTACACAAGTTAAATTAGTATACAAGTTGAATTATTTTGAAAATTTATAAAATTTTAAATCACCAAACCGATTCGCATTCATCCGTCAATCAGCTCAATACACATGCGCCAGATTGACAAATGAATGCGGATTGATTTTCTTCAATCCGTTAATCTGACAGACGGATGACAGATTGACAGTTTCGTGACCACAACCAACCCACGCCCCACCCCTAATTTTATGGGATGAGCAATGAAAATTTATGTTGATAAATATTATTCGTTTTGTTTAGTTCCGTTTTCAAAATTTGGAAGAGACACAAAAACAAATTAATAAATAAATCTGAAAGCTAGTTTGTTGAAAAAGATGAAAAAAATCATAATTCTCATATGCATATCTCTCTCTCTCTCTCTCTCTCTTTTAGGATATATATTTTCAAACTAATTTCTATTTTTTTTTTTTTTTTTTTTTTTTTTTGAAAACATAGTGATTGAATTCCATGACCGGAGCTGATCAAGAGTGGAACCTCAAAATAAATGACAAATTATTTCTCGTATTGTTTTAGTTCTTATATTTTTAATTGGCTTAATTTTAACCTTTAACTTTAGATTTTGTTTCAATTTATTCCAATTAATAACATAGTGTTTTTTTTAAAAAACTATTACTAAATTGGTTGAAATTAACTAACTGAGTAGAGTAAATTTATAATTTTGCTTTTAAAAAAATAACACATGACACTTATGTGTATGTTTTTCATAAAAAAAAATGCTAAGAATTATAATCAATTGGACTAAAATTAAGACAATCATAAATTTATAATCAAAATCAAACAAATTAAAATTATACGAATTAAAATGACATAAGAACTAAAAAATAAGAACTACCATCCTAATTTGTCCTAAAATAAACACGGGGGTATCATGCTAAAAAATATTTGATAAGTAGTATATATATCTATACAATATTCTCGTCCAAAATAATGTAATGGCAATGTAGAAAATAAGGAAAAGCTTGGGATTCCTAGCTTATCCACCTAGAATTTTTTGGATGTGTGGTTGTGTAGTTAAGATTAAATTTGTGTAGTGTGAGTTTATGTGTAAAATAAATCTGAATTACATAATGATAATTCTGAATAATTTTTGAGTAATTAAGTATGAGTTTGTAGTATTACTCAGAAAATAAATAATATGTGATAGTAATACTAAAAAAAAATTGAGAAAGTTATCAGAAAGTCTCATATGGAAATTGGTTACTCCAACTAGTCCCATGGATTTTCTAATATACTGATATGTCATGTTTGTTTTGACACCCTTGCCGTAAAATTATATTTGAAATTTTGGTATGATTTGGTGGACATTTCAACTTCCTCATTAAGGGACGCCATCTTAGAGAAGTTGGATTCAATTTTTGAATCACGTTTCTTTCATTTTAATATAACACTCAAATGTGATACTCCTAAAAATTTCTTAGTGTATTTTTTTTAAAAGTAACACTACAACATAACACATTAAAAAACTCATTAGTATACTATTTTCAAATATAACACTCCTCTAACACTAAAAAACTTAGTGTATTTTTTTTTCAAATGTAACACTCCTCTAACATAACAAACTAAAAAAATTCTTCCAACATAACACTCTAACTTAACACACTAAAAAACTCATTAGCGTACTTTTCTCAAATGTAACACTAACACTAAAAAAACTCCTTAGTATATTTTGCTCAAATGTAACACTCCAACGTAACTCTCCAAATGTAACACTTCAATATGGCGGACAAATGAGTCATTACACATCCAAAAGGACTGCATGGATCACAAGAAAAGATGTGAGACTATATGGATTACAAGTCTAAAATATGAAAATTATTGATCAATCTCCTAAAAAAATTTCCCTTCATTTAATCTATTTTATGTTAAGAAAATTTACCCATAAATCTCATATGGGGAAATGTTGATCTATTTAGTCTTAAGAGTTTTCTTATAAACCAATTAATCCTTTTTGTTTTGAAAAGTTATATTTATTTGATTTGGTGCCATTTGAGTTTAAGTGAATACTCTTTGTTGATTCATTTTTTTAATTTTTTTATTCGTTTTTTGAATGAGAATAGAAAGGTGATGTGTGGAAAAAAAATTTGGGGAGGATTGATGGCTGAAATGTTAATTGTCAAGTATGGAAATCCACATTTTTGTTAGTGTGATTTTCTAGTGTTATATTGGAGTGTTACATTAAAGTGTTACGTTTGAAAATAAGTACGCTAAAGAGTTTTTGTATATTACATTGATTAAAGTGTTATATTTGAAATATATATATACAAAATAATTTTTTTGGAATGTTATATTGTTACGTTTGAGAAAAGTATACTAAGGAATTTGTTAGTATGTTGCATTTGAGTGTTACGTTTGAGAAAAGTACAATAAGGAGTTTTTGTGTATTACATTGATTAGAGTGTTACGTTTGAGAAAAATAAACTAAGGAAGTTTTTTGAAATGTTATGTTTAAAAAAAGTATACTAAGCAGTTTTTTTGTGTGTTATATTAGAGAATTACATTTTTGGAGTGTCATGTTTGGAAAAAAATACATTAAGGAGTTTTGTGTGTTACATTAATTGGAGTGTTACGTTTGGAAAAACTACACTAAATAGTTTTTTTAGAATTTTACGTTTGAGAAAAGTAACACTAAAGAATTTTTTAGTATGTTACATTGGAGTATTACGTTTACATTGGAGTATTACGTTTTTTAAGTATTACATTAGAGTGTTATATTTGAGAAAAATATACTAAAAGTGTTATGTTTAGTAATTTTAACATTATAAGAAAACTCATATTTGTCCTTCAACATATAGCATACGTATGTTTATACTTGACCGGTTATGTAATTTACAATAGAATGAGACATTTCGATCATAAGAAAAAAGAAAAAAATCAAACAATTTATAAGATATCTATTGACAATTTATCGATGTTACACCCTTTATTTTATTTATTTGTTATTTCAGATCTCTACTTACAAACAAACTCTAGCGCTGTTCTCGTATCATGTAGCACATTTTCTTCATCATTGAACGTTTCAACCCTAAACCAACCTCTCATAATACTCTCCCAACAACGAGATCAAAACACTCAAAACAAAAGCAAACCCAACAAAATAAAAATAATAATAATGGAAACAAGATCTGCCAAGAAAAAAAGACTCTTAAAAACAGAAAATGAAACCGAAACAGGCGAAGATTGGATCAGCGACCTCCCGGACGCTGTTCTTCATCATATTCTCTTCCTTCTACCCATCAAATCCATTGCTCAAACCAGCGTTTTGTCGAAAAGATGGCGATCGATATGGTCCTCGTTCCCTGATCTTGATTTCACCACCACAACCAACTCAGTTGGCCATTTTTCATCAACCATTATCAAATATTCGAGCACTCGCAAAAGGGTTCACTCTCCTCTAGCTCAAGGAGTGGACTTTATCATCCCGGTTCTAGCTCTCCGCGACAAGAATTCTGATCTAAGAATCCTTCGTTTCTGCGCACAATTGAGCTTTTCTCGCTTAAACAGCTTGATCCGCTGTGCTGTGAGGCGTAATGTTCAAGAGTTTGATATTGAAGTCGCAACGGATGATTACTTTAACCTCCCAAGATGTGTTACTACTTGTGAATCATTGCGGGTTTTCAAGTTAAAGTCTCGTTATCCAGGTTTTAGATTGCCTCCATTGTCGATAATGAAGAGTGGTTTCCAATCACTCCACACATTGTCCCTCTCACTGGTCATTTTATATCAACAGTCCTCTCTTGTTGATTTGTTCACAGAGTCTTCATTCCCTCTTCTCAAGAAGTTGAGTCTTGATGCTTGTTTCGGGTTGAAAAATCTCAAAGTTGGTTGCCGAGGGCTCGAAGATTTAACCCTAGAAAACTGTTTTCAATTGAATGATTTGAACATTTTGGGTGGAAAACTAGAGAGATTACGCGTTGCGAGTTGTTTTGATGCTTATAGTAGTAATAGTTTGGTGAAGATTGAAGCCCCAAGACTTAAAATCATTCTTTGGGAATATAATGCTATTACTGAGAGCAGTTGTTTGGAGAACTTGAATTCTCTTCATGAGGCTTCTGTTGGTTTCTTTGTACTTCATGATGACATAACTGTAACAAAGCGTTGGAGTATATCAAATTTTCTAACCGGTCTTTCTCATGTCGAAAGTTTGACACTTGAAAGCCAATGTGTTGAGGTATATATTTTACTTCAAAATCTTTTCACATTCTTAATGCAACTTACATTTGAAATGTCCACATTGTTAAAATTTAGATGAATTCTTTGGTTTTTAAGCATATTTCAAAGTGTAAAAGCATGATTGGCAACCATACTTCAAGTGAAAGTGGAAAATTATGATCATTTATTTCTTTCTGTGTGGCCGAGATTTAATCTGAATCTCTCCATTTTTGGTTGGGAGAAGATGTGAAGATGTACGGCTATAGGAGATGTAATGTACAGAGCATTTTTCATATGAATTTAGAATACAAACAGAATACTCACCTAAACATGCCAATATATTTATACTCCATTTGATTTACAATAATCACCATAGCATATCCTTCGTAGAAGATTTTAATCAACAACGTAACTCACCTCCCTTGACGCAGGAACATTTCATATTCCTATGTAGCTATATATCAAACACTTAACCCTACTTCTACAAAACCAAATTGTGAATTAAATTTTCCCACACAAACATTATTGCTTACATGCATTAATGGAATGGAAGGTTTTCATTACAAATCTAATGGCTATAAAATAGAAATATAAATTTATAATTATTTTAAATTTAAAAAGATTATTATACTCAATAGGTGGATGATATAATGGAACCTCTCAATTACAAATATATAATAGAGAGGATCACAATCGCCTTCATAGACATATTTCATAATTCACATAGCATTTTGTTATTCGCTATAGATTCTGTCGAAGAACAAACACTTGCAAGTGTTTTATATAATGGAACCTCTCCATTGCAAATATATAATGGAGAGGATCACAATCTCCTTTCATGGACACATTTCATAATTCACATAGCATTTTGTTATTGGCTGCAGATTCTGTCGAAGAACAAACATTTTACAAGTGTTCTGAATCCCTTTAACAAGCTCAAAACCTTGGAATTACGCACCGGTTTCAACAAACATAACATTCCAGCTCTAGCATGCCTATTTAGAAGCTCTTCTAATCTCCACACTCTCATCATCAAGATTGCTAACGATTACAAGATCGAAAGGAGAGTGAGTAGCCAACCATACACACTAACCTTATCCCCAACACATAAATTGCATTTTTATGTATATATCTATAGTAACAGCTTATACTTTGATGATTCATCCCTATTTCAGCAATGGAACAGGGAATTGTGGGACTTGTCTAACTCAGGAGAAGAGCAATACTGGGACTTGCAAAGTCAAGCCTTGAAGTTCTTCTTGCACAACCTAAAGGTAGTGAAAATTCAAGGGTTTTCAGAATGTGAGAATGATATTAGTCTAGCAAAGTTTTTGCTCAAACATGGTAAGGTGTTGGAAGAGATGATTATTTGTCCAGGACACTACAATTCTAGAGATACCCATCGGAGAGAGAGAATCAAGTCACAGATGATGGAGTTCTCAAGGGCTTCTTCTAATGCTAAAATTGCATTTCAATAATGTGGTTATGAATTCTTGGAACAAATGAGAGCTTTGATTACTTTAACTTTAGTTTAGTATATTCTGATGATGATTTGGGGTTTGAATGTGTTGATATTTGTAGACATTTGTATGTTGGAGACCAAACGAACTTTGGTTCTCTGGTTGGAAATACAATCCAAGTGATTGGTGTTTTTTATACTCTGATTTTATGATTGAGGGAGGGAGGGAGTTGTTTAACCGTTTTACTACTACTTTTTTACTCAAAAGAAGCCAAATTCGCTTGTATTGCTTCCTATCACGTAATGATAGGTTTTATGGACAAAAATTAAGTTGTCATGAAACACTTGTGATAATACTATTATCAATTATTAAATATCATGTTCTTTACTATTCTCCAACATCTAATATTAAATTATAAATTTTATTTTTTTATTAATTATAGTCCTTATAAAATTTCATTTAAAAATATTTCAGAATTATCAAATAACTTATTGAGTGGACTGCATTGAATTCCTTGCATGTGGAAGTTATTGGGTAAATTGGAAACTTCGTCAATAAAGTGATTGTGCTCTGTATTTGCTTTTTAATTGACCATTTAGAAGGAGGATGACATCGTGGGTGAGGTAAAAACCATGACACAAACAAGGATAATATTTGACCAAACTTTGATTGACTAAGCCAACCCAAGAATTTCCTTCAATAAAAGTCTTACCAGGGTAGTCAAAATCGTTCATTTATACACAAAGCCGCCAAGGAAAGTGAAAATGATCTTCGCTGATAGAACCCCAAACCAATTGCTTTGATCTTGACTGGGGATCATCAGAGAGGACAGAGGTTTTATTTGAAAATTTGACTATTTTAATTTATTTTTTTTACAATTTTATGAGGTAAAAAAAAAACAAGTTATATTTAAGATAATTTGTGAATTGTTTTTTGTAATTACATATATGATTGTGAGAGAAAAAATAATTAATTAAAAATAATAATAATTAATCTTCCGAAGTAATAATTAATTAATGTATAAGATATAATATTTTATCTTATTAATTATTTTAATATTTTTTTTATCTTTATTAGCTATTTTAATTTTTATAAAAAAAACTCTTGCCAAACACCCCAGAATTAGAATCAGAGCTTTGAAAGTGGCCATTTTGTCAAAACAACCGAGGTCAGAGTTGTCTTGCTATTAAAAACACAAAAATTGAAATAATAAAGGTTGAGATTCACATACAATGACCACCATGTATAGAGCTCACCTCTTATCATATATCAGTAATTATTTATATATTTTATATTTTCTATTCTTAACACATCTTTGCATGATTATTATAGTTCTCTTTTTGTATTTTTATTTTTTATTTTTTATATATGTAAAATTGTATCACCTCATGCCAGTGTTGTAAAAAGGTTAATTAAAGAGAAAGGGACTAAACCAAGGATTACTATTAAGGCATGCCAAAGTGTTAGAAGGAGCCGTTAACAATGAATCCAATGCAGAATAATACAAACCTCCAGCCCTGCTTTTTAAGAAAAGACAATAAGTTTGGGATGGTATAAATAAGTGTTTTTTTTTACTTTTTATAAAATATGGATTGGGTATGAGTTGGGTTTGAAATGATGTGGTAGAGAAATTATGTGACTTAAATATGATAGCGACTTTTTGACCTTTTTAACTTTTTTAAGTTACGACAAATTTGGGTCCTCTTTTTTTATCACTTTTATTGAGAGAGTGTGCATTGTATGGAGCTCCTGCCAAATTTGTTATCCTTGTCGGAGTTCTTTGAACCATATCTATAGATAAAAGAGTATCATTTGGGTAATGAAAATTAGTATCCAGCTCTACCTTATTATAAGAAGCAACAATTAGGATTGTCCGCACCAAAAAAAAAATAAAAAATAAAAAATCTCAGACCCAATAATAGTATGAGTTTGGTGGTGAAAATGGAGAAATCCAATCCAGTGGTGGAGTCGGAGAAAAATGCCAACCCACTATCAATACTATTACAACAATATCTTTAAAATTTAATATACTTACATCGATGATTGATCATATGAAATAATTTTTAATTTTTGTCGTTTTGTTCAAAATTTGTTGCACCTTGGATTCCCTCCTATCTTTCCATTTACTTTGTAATTTCATTGCACAAGAAAAAGCTTCAACATGAGAGGTGTTTAGAGTTTTTTAAAATTTTACATTCCTTCCTCACAAAATGAAACTCTCACATACTAGTTATTTTGCTAAATTTTCTCTTCACTAATTATATTTGAAAAGTCTAGAGAGTGCTGTATTACACATTAGGCAATTATGATTTTGCCTCTAACCTATCAACAAAGTTGTGGACTTCTAACGAAAGAATTGAAGTTGAAACATATATATACTACTTAATTATGAAGCAACTCATTATAGGGTTTGTTAGCAAGTTATTATTGAAGTAATTTGATAGGTAATTGCAAGTACCTTTTAATTGATTGTGGTATAAACAACTAGTCATATTTATCAAGATCATAGCAAACCACGAAGATTATGTGATTAATAAGTTAATGTTGCGAGAAATTGAATACTCCATAAATATGTACTCTTAATTATGTTTAATAAAATTTCATATTACCAAAAAAAAAAAAATACAAAGAAAAAGAATGAAGGAATAGGAAATATTTATGATGAATTGTACAATCAAAACAAATACCCAGTCCTCCATTTTGACTACAAATGTGTATTTTTTCTATTTCAACACGAACAAAATCAGTAAAAATCAACATGTTGTTTCTATTAATGATAAAACAAACGTAAAAATAAAAAATAAAATCAATTTACAGAACTAAAAGACGACGACGTTTCCTCTTCCTCCTTGGTAAAACAAAAAAGTTAAGGTCAACCTTGTCAATTTCGATCACTTGCCATCATCGTCGAACCAACCAGTCCCGAGCTCCAACTCCAGAACTCGATCAAGCCAAGCCTCAGATTCGTCCATCAAATCAGGACTCAATCTGAACATCAAAACACAAAACTCCATCTGATTGAGAGCCCCATCACCGTCCACGTCACCTTCTCTGACCATACTCAGAAGCTCGTCATCGCTCAAGTCCTGTAACCCAAGAAGAGCAGAGTTCTTCTTCAAGCTCTCGAACGTGATGAGACCTCTGTCTCTGTCCATCAAAAGCCCAAACCCATTACACAGCTCCCTTATCAGACCCTCTCCTCCCAATTTATTAGCCATCACCGGCAACAGATCTTCGAAATCAGCACTTGCAGCAACAGCCGTTGTGTTTGTCCCTGCCATTGTTGACTATATTTTTGGAGAGAGAGAGAGAGAGAGAGGGGTGATTGGATGATGGAGGGGGAGCAAGATGGGGAGATATATGTACACATGGGAATAAGGGTTAGTTGGAGGAGGAAGGAAGAGAGGGGGAAGGGGGGTCCACAATGGATGACAACCAAGATACAGAGGCGAGGAGAGAGGTTTGGGTTTGGATACTGCAGGCTTCAGTCTGCGATTGCCAATCTGTTTCCTGGAAGAAGCCTGTCCGGGATATAACCGTCATTTAACCATTGTTTATTTTTAATATTTTTTTTTAATCTTTATATTTTCTCTCTCCCTTTGATTTCCCAAAAGATTTGTTTCATTTTTTTTTTTTTTTTTTTTTTGTATTATAGTCCTAACATGTCACATGTGTATGTGTGAAATAAAATAATATATTATTTATTAAAAATATGATAATTATAATTTTTTTATATTTTGTTTTTATAAATAAAATTTGAAAAAATTACAAATATATTTTTTAAGGTTTGATTAAAATATGAATCGTTTCTTGTAGTTTTGAAAATTATATTTCATCCTCTGAGGTTTCTAATTTTATAATAAATCGTCCATTTTATTAATAAATTATCAAGTCAATTAACAGTTTTTAATGATGTTTAAAATATACTTTAATTAATAATTTAGGTAATTTTATTATTGTATAGGAGAGCAATTATAAATTTTATTGTTTTAGTTAATTCTGTTAATAAAAATTCTAATAAGGGAATATTTATAATTTTTCAAATTATAGGGCGCAATTTGTATTTTAAACAAATCTCATGGAGTATATTTGTATTTTACCCTATTTATTATTACTAAAAAGTTAAAAATTAATATAAAAAATCAAATTTTCTCCATTTTCTTGTACAAAATTAAAAAATTGTTAACAAAATTAATTCCTAAAATAGTCTTATATATAAAGTTTAGGTTTCTAATTTTATAATAAATCGTCCATTTTATTAATAAATTATCAAGTCAATTAACAGTTTTTAATGATATTTAAAATATGCTTTAATTAATAATTTAGGTAATTTTATTATTGTACAGGAGAGCAATTATGGATTTTATTTTTTTAGTTAATTCTGTTAATAAAAAATTCTAATAAGGGAATATTTATAATTTTTCAAATTATAGGGCGTAATTTGTATTTTAAACAAATCTCATGGAGTATATTTGTAATTTACTCATAAAATTTATATATAAGTTTAAGAGTTTTGTTTTAAAAGTTCATTTACTATTATATTTACTCCTCACCATAGATTAAAATTGTTATATTGACAATTAACAATTAAAATTATGCTTTGTTATAAAAAAAAAATGAAAAAATTGGTCTAGGCTCCCTCTCCCACTTTTCGTAATGGAAGAAATCCACAAAATTATTTTTTGATGTTTAAGGTCCCTAAACATGCATCAGAGAAATTTGACTCTTTGTCTCTTCTCCTCTACTACAAAGCAGCACTTCTTCTCTCTCTCTCTCTTCGAAACCCTAAAGAGAAGAGATGGGCAAAGCAGCACTTCCTTTCTCTCTCTCTCTGTCTCTCCTCTGTATTCCTTCTCTCTTCATCATCTCTTTCTCTATCTATCTGTTGATTTCACAAGCCTATTTTTTTTCTTCTCTCCCAGATCCTCAACAAAATGCCAAATCAAACACCAAAAATACATAGTCAATCGATCTGTGTGTGTTTGAGATTACCATTACACTATAGCACTCACTCTCAAATCTAATGAGTGAGTGATATATATACATATATAGAGAGAGAGAGATAAAGAGAGGGAATACAGAGGAGAGAGAGAGAAGCGATGATGGCAACCAGAGCTGTTGGAGGAGGCGGCGAATGCAAAGTTGCAGGAGATTTTGTTGTAGATGAAGATCTGGTGCAGATTTGGTGCAACTGAGAATGTGTGTAACAGAAGATCTGGTGCAGATTTGAGTGTGTGTTATTTTGGCTCATGAGTATGTGTTTACCACACTCCACTCGCCCAAGGAGAGAGTAGGCTCGCAAGGCTCAAGGATCCACAGTGACATGTTGGCTGCAGGGACACACAGTTGGAGCAAAAATATTATTACTAAAGCAACCACCTCTCTGTGTTTCAAATTTGAAGCTTCCAAGCTCCATCTCATCCCATCCCTCCCAATGTTTTTTTTCTCTTTTTTGGTCAAACTCTCCCAATGTTCAAGGTTATATATAGTTCCATGTTTTCATTCTATATTCTTTAGTTTTACTACCTATATATATATGAGGAAGAGGATCAAATCCAGTGAAATTTATTGAGACAAGTCAGTGAAATTTCAAAAAAATAAACTCAGAGAAATTTGTTTAATATATATATATATATGGGTTGCTATTGTTGCTTATTCACTCAATGAAATGATCTTCTCTCTCTGCTTTGAACTGAAATTTATCTGTATTGGTGAAGAGAAATTTTCTTGTTTGAATTGAAATTTCTCCGGGTTGGTCCAGAGAAATTCTCGGGTTTAAACTGAATTTTCTCTGGATTGGTCCAGAGAAATTCTATGGTTTGAACTGAAATTTCTCTGGGTTAATCTAAAGAAATTCTCGGGTTTAGATTGAACTAGTCCTCAATGTTGTCCAGAGAAATTTGGCAACCTCTTCTTTTCCAACTTTCTCTAGATTTCTAGCAAGAGCAAAGGTTACTTGAAGAAAGGGTTGCTACGTTGTCTGGAGAAATTTTCAAAATTTTTCTGGACCAATTTTCTCTGTGACGTGAATTTTTCTGGAGTAATTTTCTCTGGACCAATTTTCTCTAGACTAATTTTCTCTAGACCAACTTTCTCTGGATCAACTTGAGGGACCTTAGACATTATGAAAATATTAGATGTCCTTTATGCTATAAAATCTTAACACGAGGGACCTTAAAAAAAAAACCCAAAAAAAAAATGATATAGTTCTAATACTTTACTATTTTAGGATAAAAATATATGAATTTTAAAAATTTGTTATATTAGTTTTTGAAAGGAAAATATTAAAGAAAATTTAAAAACTTAATGAATAAGGAAGAAGTATCGTAACATGTAATTCAAAATATTAAAAAAAAAGTAAAAAAATGAATAAAGACTTTAAGAAGTTGTGATTATAATTAAAACTAATGTCATATTTTAAAAAAAAAAAACCCAAAAAAAATGATATAGTTCTAATACTTTACTATTTTAGGATAAAAATATATGAATTTTAAAATTTTGTTATATTAGTTTTTGAAAGGAAAATATTAAAGAAAATTTAAAAACTTAATGAATAAGGAAGAAGTATCGTAACATGTAATTCAAAATATTAAAAAAAAGTAAAAAAATGAATAAAGACTTTAAGAAGTTGTGATTATAATTAAAACTAATGTCATATTTATTAATAAATATAATTTTATTTGGATATCGATTTATATTTTAACATGCTTATTTAAAACAAAAATAAATAAAAATAAAAATATTAATAATTTTGAGTTTTAAAATATGATTTTGTAGATGTGCTATATTAACTTTTGGAAGGAATATATTTGATTTTTTTTTACAAAAATTAAATTTTAGTCATTGAACAAATCTTATAAGATTTAAAATAAAATTTGTAATAGGAAGAAATTAATGATATTGCATATAGCGATCCCGGTTTTGTCCCAACCTTCATTGTGTTCCGGACTCGGGTTCCATGATTGAATATTGTATCCATGTCTTGTTTTTCCCCTTTGACCCTCTGTACTTGTGTTTTAGAACTTGTTGGGCGTGTTTGGAACAGGTTGGTTGTTGATTGGTTTAGATTGTTGCTGTTTAGATTTTGGCCTCTTCGCTCGAGTGAGGCTTCTTGCGCTCGAGCGAGTTTCTTGTAATTTGCTTCTCCGCTCGAACGAGGTTTCTTGCGTTCGAGCGAGAATTAGGAGTTCTCAGGCTTCCTTCCAGACGCAGCATTTTTGGAGAAGATGAAGTTCTTCGCTCGAGCGATGCTTCTTGCGCTCGAGCGAGCCTTGTGTTATTTGTTCCTTCGCTCGAGCGAGGTTTCTTACGCTCTCGCTCGAGCGAGCGTGTGCGTCTGTGGCAAACCTAAAGTTTTGCATTGTATGCTCAAGCGACACTTCTTGCACTCGAGCGAGGTCACTTGTTGTGTCTGGTCGCTCGAGCGACAACTCCTTCGCTCGAGCGAGGACCGCGTATATCAGTTCGCAGCAGCTCATTTTTTACACAGAACATTAAGATCTTTTCACCTCAAAACCCTAATCCGACACCTTCTCTCTCTAAAATACTCTCTCTCTCTACAAATACTTCTAGATCTAAGCATCTCTCAACCCTAGTTCCTTTGTTAAAGTGTTAGAGCATCTCAAGGGCTTTCCTTTGATCTGAGTCAAACAGAATTTGAGGCATTTTTGAAGTTCTTCTTCTCTTTGAGCTTCTACACTTGAGGTAAGGATATTCTACTATTTGATATGGGTTTTAACCTAGGCATTTGTCATTTTGAATAAATGGTGGGATTTAGGAAGATAATGGGTGAAATTTGGTCTTGGGTTTAATATTTCGTGAAAGGGGAAAGATTGCCCTAATTTGAATCAAATAAATTATTTTGTATAAAATAATGAAATTGATGTGGAAATAAGAAATTTGAAGGGGCGTATAATTGAATGGTGTAATTAGATTTGTTAAATCAGTCACTCATGGGAATTTGGTAAATCATTTGTTTGGTAGATTGTATATCTGTCTAGAAATATCAGTTTTGGGCTATTGGTGGAGGATAGCTATGATTGTTGTAGAAATTGCATGAGGATTAGGTGAATTGAAACTAATCATCTAAATTATGTCATTGAATATGATGGTTTGATTAAACCGTTGAATATGTGAATTGATTAGTCATTGTATATGACAATGTTTTAAATACATTGTACATGTATCTTTGTTTGGGAAGAGATAGGGGATGGACTCCACTGAAAACTAAATTGGTCGAAGTGTCTAGTGTGAAAGTCTCGAAATCTTATATATATATGGGTGTCGATTCTCTCGGATGTGAATTCTGTAAAATGGCAAGAAAATTGAAATGTTTGAGTAA